CACACACACACACACACACACACACACACATCCTGGAATGCGCATTTCCTACAGAACGTGCTGACTAATTTCATTGGCTGACGCTGCTATGACGATCGCGTCAGCCCCAACTTCAGACACGCCTTCTGTAAAGCGTGATGCTGAAGCCCCAAATATATATTTATAAAAGACATCTGAGCAGCAGAAATACAACAATACAACAACATCAACAGACAAATAAACAAATAAATAAATAAACCACCGAATAAAGGAATAAAGAAATAAATAAACCTTTTGTGGTTCATAAATATATAAATATATGAAGTCTGCAAGCCAATTAAAGGTGTGAACACTACAGTCATCTCTTTACCAACGTATGAATCAGAATCAGCACGTAACATTGATAGATCTGCATCTACAGCACATGTGTGTGTGTGTGTGTGTGTGTGTGTTGCAGATTGTGAGGCTGATGATGATTTGCATGTGCGCTTCTCACCTGCTGACACTTTTAAATAACAAAATGTGCTGCTGTAAGTTTTACAGCTCTGATTCATATATTAATAAAGTCTGGGGGGGGAAGTGGATGGGGTAGGATGAGGAAAAGTGAGGAAAAGTGAGGAAAAGATGAGGAAAAGTGGGCGGGGGAAGCGGGTCCAGAATCACGGTGGCAGGCCAGATGACCGTCAGGCTACCAGGAAATGTCCCGGTGCTCCCTATGCCCAGTCCGCCCCAAGTTCCTGGTTGTCAGAGTTATTCTCAATCACTTTGACATAAATACGCTCGTATAATCGAATGAAACTCATTTAAGTTGTCATGTTTCAATTATTACACAATTTTCATCAACTATTGTTGATATAATAATGCTCAATAGCACATTTTTTGCTCATAAAATAAAAATGTAATAAAATAGGACACATTTTAATAATAAAAATAATGAAAATGTAACATATAATATTTGAAAGTGTCTATATTTCTATAAGTGATCAGTGTGCTGTCTCCAGTTCCTGATCTACAAGTGTTGTCAGAGTATTTCTTAATCACCTTGACATAATTAAACCCCTGTAATCAAATGAAACTAGTTTAAGTTGTCATGATATAATTGTTCATTGTTCAATTGTTCATTATACGTGTACATTGTTCATAAACTATTGTTGATATATTAATGCTCAATAGTATTTTTTGCTCATAACAAAATGCAAAATAAATAAATATTTCCATATAATATATATATATATATATATATATATATATATATATATATATATATATATATATATATATATATATATATATATATATATATATATATATATATATATATATATATATATATATATATATATATATATATATATATATATATATATATATATATATATATATATATATATATATATATATATATATATATATATATATATATATATATATATATATATATATATATATATATATATATATATATATATATATATATATATATATATATATATATATATATATATATATATATATATATATATATATATATATATATATATATATATATATAT